CTCTCTCTCTCTCTCTCTCTCTCTCTCTCTCTCTCTCTCTCTCTCTCTCTCTCTCTCTCTCTCTCTCTCTCTCTCTCTCTCTCTCTCTCTCTCTCTCTCTCTCTCTCTCTCTCTCTCTCTCTCTCTCTCTCTCTCTCTCTCTCTCTCTCTCTCTCTCTCTCTCTCTCGTCGTCTTCTGTAGCTGGCGTCCATGGTATTTCGCTTCGGCTATCACGTAAAGTTGATCTACTTGCTTTACGTTATCCGGAGGCGAAAGCACGGATCCTGGGTCCTCCATTTGCGAAACGGAAAAATGAGCAAGAAAGAAAGAGATAAGATAAATAACAAGACTTATCAGAGCCGGCAACGCGTATTTGTAGAACCGAAGGATCGTGTTTACGATTATGTGCTGCAAGGGGAAAATATGGAACGTACAAGGCAGAGAATACAAGTACGGTGACAAAAAGAGAAACCAAGAGGGAGAAAGCGCCGCTTGGTCGATCGTTTCCAAGTCACAAGTGGTGAATGGTCTGAATAAAAATCTGAAGGAAAATCGCGGCGAGGCAGGAAGGTGTATATCGCCATATTTCTCCGCTTCGTTCGACGGGTTTTTGGAATGGAAGGTTCCACACACGGAGAGTAACGCGATATTTTGCGAAGTAAAGATTAATTTTATGCATAAAGTTGGTGTATTTCGCACGCACGCGCGGTAAAAGCAACAATAGCTCGGGCAGGCACGCGCGTGATAATTTAATATGGCATCAGACGGGATTACAAATTTATTCTCGCGCGCACAGAAAGCCGTTTCTAATCTTTTTTACAATACTTGCTCTCGCTAGATGAAAAACACGGGAGCGAGGGTAGAAGGGAGGCAGGAAGGGAAGAATCACGCGATGACTACGTAGCAGGTCGGCAATGTCTTAATATTCCGTTGTTCATGGCGGATTTTATCGCACCGCGAACAACGTGCGCTCTGAATGCACTGTCATTCTCACCACAGCCGGTTAACGAACGTTTCGCTGATATCCGTACGTCGCGTGGCGTTTCTTTTCATTTTCGCAGCTGACGTTGACGTTACTTACTTGGATGAGACCGCCTCGCGCTGCGAGGAACTTCGGCTTTCGAGATAAATACACGGAGAAGCTCCCGCGGAGCTTTACGTACGATATTTCAAAAATAATAATCAGGAAATGGTACGGAAGAAATAAAAAGCAGATGCGAGCGGAACGAAGAAAAGAATAAGAGAAGAATCTGAGAGAAGAAGGGAGAAAAGAAGAGAGATGGAGGAGAAGGTGTGCTCAACGTGCTTTTAATTTTTATCAATTTCCGTCATTCGATTTTCACTATCGAGTGAGCGAAGAAAAGTTCTTCGTTGCGATCAGAGTCGGCTTCAGTTTTCCCGAATGATTGCTCGTGCACGTCTCGCAGGCGCGATGATGCAATGATAATCGCGTATCTGCTCGCGATTTCCCGGGCGAGGAGACAAGTTGCCGGGGAACGAAGAATCGCTTTGGATTTCAAGCGGGAAACGCCGATGAAGGAACGCACTTAGGGCTTATACGGCGCTATAATCTCGGTCGGACGAGTTAAGAGCTGATGGAGTTTACTTAATTTTATCATGACGCTCCGCGAGCATGCGTCCCTTTCTTCCCGGCATATCCTAGCCGGGGCTGACGTGCACGGTTCTTGAAAGCTTTTGAGCTCTTGCGCTAAAGTTTCGCCGTCTAGGCCACGCTATTTACCTTTATAAGAGACGACAAGGCGCCGCCTGTTCGACCCGGCTCTCTCTCTCCCCCCTCACAACACACGAAAGAATAGAGAGAAAAGAAATATCAGACGGCGAGGTAACGGCGGAAAAATGTAAACGCGCGGCACAGAGAGAAGTCCTGACGAACTCGTCGTTCCCGCGCTTCCCGCGAGGGACGGGGGGAAGGGAGGGGGGAAGCAACAACTACGCCGAGATATTTCGTACGAAATAAGTTCTCGAGGTTTTATTTCGAGGTGGGTCGCGTCACGACGTGGTTCGCAAGATTCTCTCATGGCATGGCGCGACAATTGTTCGAAAAAGGAAAGCATCGATCGACTTCAGTCGACGAGATTTAATTCGATCGATGGGGACTCGATTAGATTTGGTGACAGGACTGAGAGAAAATGTATAATTTCCCGAACTTTTCACGAAAGCAATCGTTTGTCCCGTTTGGGTGAAATAACTTAGAGTCGAGAGATTATGTTGCTAGCAGCCATCCCGGTGAAAAACACTCCGATCGCATTGGGTTGTTCGGAAAATAATTTTGATTTCTTTTTCAAATAGATGGTGTTAGTTGCCTTCTTAAGTTAACCTGATTTTTAACCAAAAAATCATTTTACATTCTTACAACGCGCATTTCAAGCTTTAATTTGAAAAAAAGCTGTTTTGGAATCTATCAAATTGTTTTTATTTGGCGTCGCATCAAAAAAATGGAAAACTAACGTAAGTATTTTCGTCACGTTTTGCTTTTTTATTATCCTAAAGGCAAAAATGCAGCGCAAGCGAGAAAAAAATTGTGTGCCGTGTATGAAGAAGATGTGTTAACTGAACGCCAATGTCAGAATTGATTTTCGAAATTTCGTTCTGGGAATTCCGACTTCGAAAATGTAATACGTTTTGGAAGGCTAGTTGAGGCTATTGAAGACCAAATGAAGATATTGGTGGACGCAAATCGTCATTTAACAACACGAGAAATTGTTGAGAGATTGAATTTATCGAATTCGACCGTGCATGAGCATTTGAAACAACTTGATTTCGTTTCAAAGCTCGATATTTGGATTCCACATATTCTCAAAGAAAGAGATTTGATTCGTCGCATTGCCATCTGCGGTTTGCCGTTGAAACGTGAAGAAAAGGATCCATTTCTGAAGCGACTCACAACTGGAGATGAAAAATGGATTGTATACAACATATTAAACACAACAGATCATGGAGCAGACGTGATGAAGCAACTCAAAGCACACCGAAAGCTGATATCCGTCAAAAGGAACGGTCTTTTTTGAGTTACTACTAAATAACCAAATAATTGATTCGAATGTGTATTATCGTCAATTGGACAAATTGAATGATTTCATCAAGCAGAAGAGACCAGAATTGGCAAACAGAAAAGGTGTTGTGTTTTATCATGACAACGCCAGACCTCACACAAATTTAATGACTCGTCAGAAGCTGTTAACGCTTGGATGGGATTTGCTACCGCATCCATCATATTTATCTGATCTGGCATCACTTGTTTCGGTCACTGCAAAATTCTTTGGATGGTAAAAATTTCGATTCAAATGGAGGTGTCAAAAACTACTTAATTCAGATTTTTGCCAATAAGAACCAAAAGTTCTACGAGCGTGGTTAATCATGCTATTACCTCAAAGATGGCAAAAAGTGTTAGAACAAAATGGGTCAATACTTAAAAGAATAAAACTTTTCTTTCTATTAAAAATATATTGTCCCGTCTTTCATTTTCATGCAAAAATCCGAAATTACTTTCCAAATAACCCAATAACTTGGCGGGTCGTGCATTGCATTTCGCTCGCACTCGGCGTATCTCACACTCAACCAGTGTTTCCGAAATGACGAAAGCGGCTGGCTTACGTAGCCTAAGAGACGCGTGACGAAAAGGTACGCGGTTAACGTACGTTGAAACGATTAGCGTTACGCAGGGGAGAAGAACGACGTGCGCACGATGTGTGCGAAGTAAAAGCAAATCGCGGCGATGCCGTTCTCTGTACTTGTTGGGGATCTTGCGGTTTGCGGTCAACGACTCGCTATCAAAGTGAGATCTCTTTGAGCGCTTTCCATCGACCCGCCGATGCACTCGGCTCGTTCGACAGCTCCAGCGCGATAGGTATAAACAATGGGTCCGCTTCGCGTCCGGGGCTTCTCGATAGACTCGAATCTCGAGCACGCGACTCGAGTGGAAATGTCCCAATCGACCAAATAGATTACCGATACTATAATAGCGGTCGCGCGCGAGCTCTGTAGAGATTAAACGTGTTAATTTCCCGACGAATGGAGAGACGTAGGCAACGCATGCCTCCGCAGAAGCGGATCGTCACTGACGATGAGACGTTGAGGATGGAATGGAATTAACCCTTTGAGGCACGTATTTTTCAGAAAATCCGAATCACATGAAAATTTATATACGGGGGTTTCTGGGGTCGCTGATAATGAATCCGTTATCAGATTTTCGAAATTCAAGATGGCGGCCATAAATATGAAAAATCGTGATAATTTCGGTGACAACGAGTTTTGGACCTCGGATTCGTAATCAGCGACCATGAAAGCTAACCAAGTATTTTTCAACAATTTAGCTAATTTTTCAACAATTTCAGCTAATCATATAAAAATTTTATGATCCGCCATCTTGGAAAATAAATTTTTGAATTCGGACCTCAGATTCGTAATCAGCGACCTCAAAAGCTAACCAGAATACAATTTTAGCTAATTTTATGTACATTCTATGATCCGCCATCTTGGAAAATGAATTTTAGAATGTGGACCTCAGATTCGTAATCAGCGACCACAAAAACTGACCAGAGTACAATTTTAGCTAATTTAATAAAAATTCTATGATCCGCCATTTTGAATCCGCCATATTGGAAAATTAATTTTGGAATGTGGACCTCAGATTCGTAATCAGCGACCCAGAAAACCCCCAAATCTTGAATTGAGCAAAAAATTCATTCATAGTTCGTGGAAAATTATTTTCTTCTGTAAAAATGTGTATTTTTCATATTTTGTTTATTTATAATAAATGGACAACTTATGCAAAACACTTTTCAACCTCTCATGTATGTTCCCATATCATATAAGAAGTTAAAAAACGCAAAAAACCCGACAAGAATCCCTCAAATATTTCATGAAAATGTAAGAATTAATAGGTGGTAAGTATACTTACCACTATGCCTCAAAGGGTTAAGCTTGAAAAGGTTACGTGTATATTAAGGAAATATGGATGACGCAGAGGACGAAGTATGTGTTTTGTATTTGCTCGTAGGTGTGGAGACTCCGCCGATGAACGACTCGGTGCGTCTGGAGCCTGGCCCGCTCGTGAACGGCGCGGGCGCACTTTACGTCGCAGCTACCTGTGCGTGCGCCTTAATACTAGTCGTCGGCAGTGTCGCGACTGCGTTATACATTCGCAACAGCAAGGCCCGCGTCCAAGAATCGCAGTGAGTAGAATCTCGTACTGATTAAGAGATCCGATTAAAAAATCAACACCGCAATATGAGAGAATAATAGAGAAGAAGGTGGTATCTCATGACCCTCCATTCACATTTTGTGCAATGACTTTGTCAATAATCGATATTTCAAAGTGAGAGAACTAAATGATCACATTTGTCACGGTGTTGTTTAATCGACTGTAGACTCAAACTTTACATAATGTTTATTACTTAGGATGTTATTTATAAAAATGTGGCAACACAGTATAATGGGTCGGCGAGGAAATGGAGTGGTATAATGTGGCCTTCAAATAAAACTGATGCAAAAAATTGATTTTGTTTAAACTGATACAAAGTGTCCAGTTACGAAATTATATATTTATTCAAATTAAACTCTTGGATACGGAATAATAATAAATATAATACCCTCGAATTTTTAATGTGATATTGACTTACTTGTTGGGAAATACAATCTGCCAGGAAGACAGCACTGTAGGGCAAAAATAAGCGCAGCAATGGACTACAGATTCGGATCAACTTATTGAATAATTACTTTGGTAGAGAAGTCTTGAAAGAAAGATAGTATTTATCAACACTCTTATGAGGCATATTAGCAAAATGTCATGCCATTTCATCTAACTTTGCATAATTTGAAAGATATACAGTCGAACAAAATACCAAGTAACAAACAAAATACTCAATGTATATATATTCGTGTGATAATACGTTCAAGTTTAAAAATAACGAGGAAGTGTGTCTAAATTAAATGCTAAAATGTATCTTAGAAAACATTTCGAAATGCTCGAAAAATGCATTATAAAAAGTGCTAGCTATTATGTATCGATATATTAACGTCACTGCGCTAATGGCGAACTATTAAATTAATGATTTCACGAGTAACAATTGAAATTCGCTACCTAATAACGGAAATATTGAGAGTAGCCATAGTACCCTAAGGTACCACCACACCATCTTTTCCTCTAAGGTAAAATATTTGTAAAATATAATATGAAGAGAACGATATATGTATACGCTCACGCATTTTCTACCCGAGTAGAAAATTTAATAGGGCTCTGGTAAGGCCTGATTATATATTTTTAACATTAATGGGACTCTAGTAGAAATAGAAAGACAAAGGCCCTACAAGATATGTAATAAATGGTTTAACGGATCCTTATTAAAGCTTAAGGCAATATTAATAGGGCCTTATAAAGAAATATTTTTATTATTATTCTATTATTATTTACTTGAGTAAAAATATCCGTTCTTTTCATCCCAAGAAATTTGGACTGTAATTTCTTTATAACCTTGTTAGTATACAATAAGAACTTTTTATTTTAAAAATATAAAATACTTTATACAATATAATATAGCATTTTTTACACATAAAAATCCTGCTACTGTTTTTATTGAAGTTTGCTGCATTTCAAAACGAAAGACAATACTAGAAAAATCCTTGGAAGAGACTATAGAAGGAATATGCCAACCAATAAAACTAAAAAAATCTATTTTTAATTGTGCTATAATTAAAAAATCTTTAAAAGAACCAGATAGAGCGTACCTACTAAAACAATACTGAACTATGACAATTTTATTACACGCTTCAGATCTTATTAATTTTCTATAACAAAACTTGATTTTGTACATCTAAAGCATCCTTAAAAGATCCTTCTAAGGCTCACATCAGTTTTCCATTTTAAAGCGTTATTTCGTAAAATCTAAAGCATTCCTAAAAATTCCTTCTAAAGCCTTTCTCAGCTTTCCCTATCACAGCCTTATTTATTAAATCTAATTCATCCCTGATGAATCCTTCTAAAACCCTCATCAGTTTTCCTTATCAAAGCCTTATTTCGTAAAATTTAAGGTATCCCTAAAAGATCCATCTCGAGACCCGATGTGGTAATAATTTTTAGGATATCCTATATTTTCAATTTTATCGGGACCTTTTGAGAATGGCCGTAACAATTTTTTGTTCAGATACATGTTGACCTAAATGTTCGTATTTAAAGGCCAAAAATGAGGATGCCCAGAGTTAGCCACATGCCCCCCCCTGATATATTAGTTTTCTCTCATCTGAATCGCTCAATGTCGATCTCGCCGGTATTTGAGCGACCCGGGCGGGGTAGCTCCAGCGAAATTAAAGAGTAAAGAAAGCGCAAGAAGCAAATATTTTCCGAAGTAAGCAGGTGCGAAGGACAAGAAGGAGCAGTTCTTTCTAGACTTGGCAAATGTCCGCCTTAATTTCGTCCTGGTCGGGACAATTTGACGACGCGACGCGACGTATAATAACTCCGCAACAGAGCAACGATTATCTTGCCGAAGCACGTCAGCCGAACGGGTTTTTCCGACCGGTGGTCCGGCTAAAGGACACGAGACGGAGACGCAAAGTGGACGCGCGCGTCGTTCTCTCTGCTACTTATTAAATTCACATTTCAAAGGAGCGCAGCGCATTCTTGCCGCGCCGCAGTCGCTGTTGCCGCTCGCAAAATAAATCGGTGCTCGAGGAAGAGATTTCCATTATACCGTCATAAGGCGCGTCGTAAATGCGGCTTTTCACGTATCGCCAGGCGCGCTCTCATTTTCCGCGAGTCGCTCGAGTGAAAAGTCGCGAGAGCGCGTGTTCCGCGCGACGCCGCGAATTTTCTGCCGAGCACGACGCTACGAGCCGCGCTGTGGCGAACTGGTCGCAGGACGGGGGTGGCGGAGGAGGAGGAGAAGGAGGAAGAAGAAAAGGAGGAGGAGGAGGAGGGAGGGTGACGGCAAGATTTCTGCACCCCCGCGGGAAATTCGCAGGGATAAGCTGGATAGGAGGAACTCGTCCGAATGAAATATCCTTTCAATAAGCCGCCGGTGATCCGTCGGCCGCTTGGCACGGCAGCCGACATTTTATTGCATAGCTATACGTACCCTTACCCTCCTCCTCATACCCGGGGGATACTCCTGCGGGAGAGAATGTAAGGAGGATGTTAGGGGTCGAGAGGATCCGCTTTTACCTCTCTTTCCATATCCGCGCTCTCCTTTTTGTTCACCGACAGCCTTTCACTAAGAAGGAGAGAATGAGAGACAAGGAGAGAGAAGGCGCTTGCGCGCACGCTCTCTGTCGCTCCTCTCTCTCTCTCTCTCTCTCTCTCTCTCTCTCTCTCTCTCTCTCTCTCTCTCTCTCTCTCTCTCTCTCTCTCTCTCTCTCTCTCTCCCCCCCTCTCTCTCCCTCTCTCTCTCTCTCTCTCTCTCTCTCTCTCTCTCTCTCTCTCTCTCTCTCTCTCTCTCTCTCTCTCTCTCTCTCGGAAGAATCGAGTCTCAAACGGACTCTCGTTCTGTAGCATCTTTTGAAATTATTATTTCGTTCTTATTATTTCATTATTCGTTGATATCGCCGACGATGCCGATTATTCACGTGTTGCCGCGAGATCCGCAGATTCTTCCTTCGTTCCGGGCTCCCGAATGATTTCAACGCTTTTTCCTGAACTTGATTTCTCCGGGAATTTCGCAGAAATAAGTTCTCACACTGGACCATCGGCGGCGAGCCGAACCGCATTCGAAAATAAAAATGTGTGGGCCGTTCCGAGAGAAACTCAGTATCTTCTTTCCATTCGCAGCAAGCTTGAAACGCGATAATTCTGGAACAGAGTTACAACGAGGGAGTAAATTTCTAGGGAATAACAAATATTTACGCGGTAACAGATTTTCCCATACCGACGATTTCCCATACACTATAAGAAATGACGTGTTAAATTTAACATATTTCATGTGTCTCAAATCATCCACTCTCATTTATGTATTAATTTAATATATAGCAAATATGTTAAAAAGTAACATGCATAATATGTAAAAAATTAACACAAAAATTTAACACTCGAATGTCGTCAAGAAGATCACAGTTCGTGTTAAATTGACACACAATGAATGTTACTTCAACATTTGGGAAAAGTAATGATCTATGATTTGATGAAATGAAAATGTTAGATTGACATAATCTATGTCTTAGAAATTCAATCTTCATATAATATAACACATGATAACTGTTATAATGAGGAAATTAACACATTTTAGGTGTTGACTTTAACATATAAAATATGTCAGAGCAAGAATTCATGCATTTACGTATAAATTGTGTTATCTTAACATTTGAAAATATTATTTTAACACTTGAAAACAGTTAAATCTTAATTTAACACAAGAAAGTCTAAGTAACACAACAACGATATGTTAAATTAACACACGACTGTGTAAAAAGTTTAACACAAAACTTTCTACACACCAAAAATTTTAACAAAAGTACGAAACGTTTTTAACTGTGTATTTTTGCATAAGGAAAAATTTTTTCCTTTCCAAATAAAGAGATATGCGTTTCTCCGAGTTCATGACAGCAATTGTTCTGCTTGAGTAAACAAAACAAATATTTCGTTATTCTTTGGATATTTTTTTCTCAGAGTTGCACGCTTGTTTTGTTTCGCTCGTTCAGGTGTCGTACGTTTCTTCTTTATCGCAATTTCTCCCTCGCTATTTTCCCGTTGATCAGAATCAAATTGCTTTGTGTGAGTATGTCGAGTCTTTCGAGAAGCACTGTTGCAAATTTTTCCCATTAAAACGGAAAGCAGATCTCTCTTGGGTTCTGGTAACGCGGCCCGTCCCGTTATTAACGGTGAACATTATGCGAAAACTTCCATGCTGCTGCCTTTAAAGTTCGATCATTATTTTCGCTGTAATTATTTTATGCTTTAGCGCATCGAATGTTCCATTTCAGTGCCTGCACTTGGGGGCATAATCGAAGAACTTGGACTAGATGGAAACCGTACTGCGAAGAAGAAACCATACTGGGAGGAGGGGAGAGGTTGGGGGCAGAGAGAAAGCTACTCTCGCCTCACCTCGCTGCCACTTTCTTCCGATCTCCCCATTGTTTGCCTCAAAGAGGGCGAATTGTCTTTTACCCGGATATTCATTAGCCCCTTTGATGTTCCCCGTTGCGAATTTTTCTCGTTAAGCGATAAACAGCGCGGGTTTGTCTTGCC